ACTCGTCGTTGTTTAAACGTAGAGTGCGCTAAAAAGCCAGTGATATTTCATTGTTGATATTTCATGTTGGTATTTCAGGTCACGGGCTACGAAATCCCGCAAGATACTTGATCCATTCATATATCTCGTGCTATGGTGCAAAATCTGCCTAAATCGCTATGTCAGAATGTGACACGAAAATAATAACGGAGTCCTATTTCAGAACTTGAGAAACAAAATCTCATACAATGTCGTATCTATTCTACCCTTAGTCAATGTTCATAGAATTGTCAATCCCAAATTATATACAAAATAAGTGTGCTGTGTTATCAGATTTGACATTTCATACAGATAAGACATTTATTACATTATTCATTAGTATGCAATAGAAATGTACATTTGCATATCATATATGAATTTTGTATATAGGTAATAAGTATAAAATTTTGCTGAATAATTTTGTATTCAATAAAATAACAAAAAAACATAAGTTAAATTGTATTGGAATTATATTGTTCCAGCAATATGTTATAATATGTTGTAAAAAGATTTACAAACAAAATGACCGAAAAAACAACAGTTGGTGGTATTCCAGTTGAATGTTTAACTGGAGAACCTGCAGCCATTTGGTCTGGCTGGCGTACATTAGGAGACAGAGAACTTGTTAGAGAAGCATCTGCAAAGGGTACTCACATTAATCTTGCTTATAAATGTCTAGCCTACAGAAGAAGATGTTCCATTGAAGATGCTCAATATTATTTTAATAAAGAAGTAGAAATTTGGATTACAGAACTGTTAAAGAAACATCAAATTTATAGAGCTTCTCATATTTTAAATAATATGGTAATAAAAATATAATATTTAAATTATTTGTAAGTAATATAATATTCTTTATATTAATGTATTTTTTTATAGAACAAAAATCCAGTGGAACATATATTTGAAGTTTGTATAAACTGTAAAGATTTTACATTAAGAAATTATTTATCAGAATATTTAATAAGTGTTGCGCATTTTGAGAATGAATACATCAATTCATGGAATATAGTAAAAAGTATTGTAGAATATGAACAGAAATATATGTAAGTTTCTTTGTAAATACTAGTTTAAATCAATCAAAAAATAAGAGCTGTAATTTGTTCAGGATTGAGGATGGCTTAAGTTCTTCTTTATGTATAGAGGATATTATAAAGTTACCAGAAGATATAAAACAAGCATTGTGCATTGAATTATTTTTTTCTATATCTCAACAGTCTCTTTCAACAAATATAACTAATACTATATTATGGGATTATTTGCTATCAAATAACAAAATTGAGCTATTAAAATTTTGGATTGACACTTATTATGGTAGCAGTACTTTAGAAGAAGTAAACGAAATTAATGCAAAATATAAATCTTTACTCAATACTTTGGATATAATGCCAAATATGATTGAAGCTATTGATTCTTCAAGTGCCAGTACTCTTATAAAAGATCTAGTTAAAAATCATCTATGTAGGTAAGTCTATATAAAATTCAATTATTGCAAAAATATATATAAATATTCATTTATTTATATTAATATTTATAGGTATGGCATATTTATAGAAAAAGAACAACATGATGTTAAATTATTATTGGCACGTATATTTGGCAGTGCAATGACAATATCAGAATTTAACACAATATTATCATATAAATCTTGCAATATTAATAAAACTGATTTTATGAAGAAAATTGACAAAGAATTGTGTCTTGCACATTGCTTGAGTGAAACAAGTACTGAAGAAGATAAAACCAAGATTGCTGAATTATATGATGCTTTGACAAAAATGTGTGAAAGCCAAGAAGAGTTTCAAGATATATTAATAGATGGAATTTTTAAGACAATTCATTATTTTTCTGACGATGTTGCTGAATATTTAAAACAAAATTATTTAATAGTTTTAATATTGATACTTTTACATCTATCTAGAGAAAGTACAATATATAATAAGAATAAAAATACAGTACTGAAAGAAAGTATTCTACAAAATATATTTACAAATAAAAATGATCTTCAGTTATGTGGTTATAGTATTTCAAACGAAGTTCTTCGAAATACATTAAAACAGGTTCCAATTCTCGAATCCATCATAGAAAAAAAACCAAAGAAAGAAGTTACAGTATATGAATTATTAGATGGTTATGAAAATTTAAACGTAAAACAATTATATAAATGGCGTTTTAATGATGAACCAATGCCCCACTTCTCTAATGAAACTCTTGTTAAAATGTATGGATATACAGAAATATTAACATATGAATACTATTTGAACCAAGCTCGCCCTAATATGGCTATATTTAGTTTAAAACATTCTCAAGGAAAACTAATTGGAAATGTTTCTTCTAGAAGGTAAAAAAGAATTATTTTGTAGCAAATATATGAATTATATATTTAAGAATATTATATTTATATTACATTTATAGGAAACATAAAGCAGCTCTGTATGCGCATATTCTTGCCTTACGAAATTTAAACAAATCCGAAATTTTACGTACTTGTATTGCTTTCATGGAAATGCTAGGTATTGATTCGGAAAATTTAAGACTGCATATAACTGTGGCTAATTACATACATAAGGAGATTAATGTTTCTATTGGTAATTCTGTTCGTTGAATATTTATTAACATTAATAATTATAAATTTCTAATTTATTATATTTTTGAATTCAACAGGGAACTTATTAGAAAATATAATGTACAGAAATGAAAATGATTTAAAAACTGTAATATCTTATCTTGAAAGTAGTTTTCAAACAAATTGTACTGAAAGTTTAATTAATGATAGTCAACAGTTCATAAAAGTATTAAAAATATGGGATATTATTGTACGATTTACAAAAGCACACAATTTTGCTTTGCCAGTTAGTTTATTAAAATTTTTAGCAACTCAGAATCATTGGTTTGAATTCGTATTAGTTTGTCATATCTTCAATTATCCATTGAATCAGGTAATCTTATGTTTTAAATAATAATTAAAATTATTTTTAGAAAATTTCTAAGATTAGAAGAGGAATATACTTTTTATTACTTTTAGGTATTGGAAAATACAAAATATTTTGAAGATACTGTTCTCAGAGAACATTTATTAACTTGTTTGTGTAATATTCAACTTACAAAATCTCAATTAGCTGCACATAATGAACAAAAGATAAAATCACGAGATGTTAGACAATCACTATATTACAAAATTGGAGTTAAACAAAGTGTAAGTAATAAATATCATATGTTCAAAACAAATTTTACCAAATACTATATTATATTGTTTTTGAATAGGGATCACCTACTTATGATTCTCTAGTATCAGCAGATTTAGCAAGCACTTCTGATTCTCATAGTGTAGGTGATTATATTGTTAATGATAACATTTGTTCTCCGGATGATGATTTATGGTTGATTATTTTAAAATGTCACCAAAGCCCAGATCCACCTGGTGCTTTAATCAATTCATCCAGATTAACTTCAAGACCTTTTCTTACAGTTTTAGCATCCTGTTATGAGGTATTTTATATTAATAATTTTATATTAATAAAATTTTCCAAATCGTATAACGTTTTTATTATTGAACATCTTTTTTTAGCCATCTTCAATACCAGCATATTGTTATTCATGGATGATAATATCTACTACAGATAAAGAAATCCTTTCTAATTATAAAGAATGTTTAGAACAACAAGTATGGACAGCCAATCAAGTTTCTAATTTATTAAATCAAATGGTAACATGTGGATATCTTAGTATCCTTAATAAAGCTTACAGAATTTTTATGCCAGTAAGTATATGCTATTTCTAGATAAATATTATATCTTGTTTTCATAACATAATTTAATTGTAGGAAAATATCTGCAATTTATTTTTTGAATTTCTTGTACAATGTGTAATTTATGGTGATTTCAAAGGTTGCCAGCAAAAGTTATTGGATTTCAAGGCACAATGCATAGATCTCAAATGTAATGTATGTATAAATATTTAGCATTTACGCGATGTAAAATAAAATAATATGAAAATTCTGTTTTCTTAGGAAGCTATGGATTGGAATTCTTCAGATACCACGTACTTGAATAATTTATATTGGATTGCAATCGTTGTAATTAAATGCATCATTACAACTCTTGCTCATGCTTTAAAAAGTACACATCTGCAAATAAAATTTCTTGAAATTTTGATAAAATGTAATTTTTATACGAATTTTCCAGGTACTGTAATCTCGTATGGATTATCTCATTAATTTTATGAATACTAGATAAAATAATTTCTTTATTCATTGCAGTTTTCATTCCAAACTTTCAATTTTTACTACAAGTTACAAAAATTCTTCAAAAAACAAATATCACATTAAACTTTGCGATATTCACAGTATCAGATAATGTGTACAATTTTGATACAGAAATTCATAGATGTATTGGTGATTTAGTAAGAAATGAAAATTATGCTAATGCATTAGAATTGTCAAATTTAGCTGGATTAGATTCTTCTGATATAATCTTAGCCCAGGTACAACTTATATTTTTATTACAAGTTTTTGTTCTATGCTATTTAATTATTAATATTTTTAGTATCGAAGTAAATTTAAATATTACGTACACAAAAATGATAAAATTGAAGATAATTTTTGGAATGAATGTGCACTAAATTTTAAAAAAAACAATATTTCACATGAGAAAGCAGCAGAATTTTTTGTTGAGCATGCTGAAAAAGTTAATTCTCATAAAGAAAGGTATATACTAATGTATTGTTTTTTAACCCCAATATTATATAAATTTAATCAATTAAAAAATATATATTTCAACAGATATGAAATATTAAAAACAGCGTTTGAAACCTTAAAAAATATTGAAACAGAACAACAAAATATTGATGCACTTGAAACAGCAATGTGGAAATCATGTATATTAGCTGGTCCTGAAAATGTGCAATTAGATGATGGATCTTATATCTTCAACAAATTAAAAACAGAATTATTATCGGGATTAAATAATTTAAAATTTAGTTATACATTAAGTAACATACAAGAAAAAAATGCAGCTGAAACTTTAATTAATAAACTAATCGATTTAGGTAACGTGGATACTGCATTGAGAATAAGTACAATTTTTAACTATAAACATAAGGTAAGTTTCATTAAATCTTTAGTAAATATATTAAAGTAAGTTTCATTAAATCCTTAATAAATATATTAATAAATATATTAACAGTATTAATTTCAATTGTAGGATTTACAAGTTCTGATGTTATGTTTGAGTTTAGCAGAAGGGGAAATTTCACCTAATAATTTAACTACTGAACAACAAAGTCTTTTGCAAGAAGTAAATAAAAATAAGCAGCAGAAATACAATGCCTTAAAGAATCGTGGTTTACAAAGATTTTCTTCATCTTCATGTATTTCTATTATATCTTCATTGCAATAAATTATTAACTAGCACATATTTATAACAAAACTTTGTTTACAGTAATTGCTTCAATCAGTGCAACTAAAATAAGTAAAACAAAAGATGAAAACGTTCATAAAATACAAATGGAGTGTATATCAATTTTACAAAAATTACTTGACATTCTGGAACATGGAATAGACATATGTCTTAGAATTGTTTTATGTTATAAATTAGCCATGCAATTAGAAAAAAGTTATCAATTCTTGCTAATGTTAAATAATCCAATTCAGTTTTTACAAGAAATTACAGAAAGTGATATTGAGAATAAATCCGAAATTATTAATGATATAATCATTGCATACAAAATAAGTAGTGATAGTGTAGCGACATTTTTGGCTGAAAATATTACTCTAAATATTACCCGTGCGGTAGAAGGTATGTAATAATATTGTAAATAATATTGTACATGATCGTCAAAAATTAATATTTTTTCTAGGTGGATATGAAAATAATGTTTATTTATGGGGATATGCCTTAAATACAAATTTTCGTGTTATTATGGAACTATGCAACGATGTTTCACTTGTTGGTTGGAAACTTTTAAAAACAGCAAATAAATTACTTGGACATTCTCAGGGTGAAAAAACAAACGGTATTGTAATGAAATATAATTATCATTATATTCTTGATATTTAAATTTATTATTGAAGTCTTTCTTATTGTTTAGCATTGACCCTGAAAACGATTGCAGAACTATTAATACGATCTCATGATTGCTTTACAACTTCTTGTAATATGGAAGGTATAGCATCAGTATTATGTAAATGTCAAATTTTCGCAAACGTTTTACAAAATCTTAAGTATTGGACGTTATTGGTACGTTATTTAATAAGAATATAATATAATAAAATAAAGATCATTATGTTTGAAAAATAATTAATCATCAAATAATTTTAGGTCCGTCTTGTAACAGGTGTTGGTCGTTTTACAGAAATGAATTACGTATTTCAAATTTTAAAAGAAAATGATCAATTTGAATTTTTACTTGGAAAAGGATTAAATAAGGTGTCTCTATGCTTCTTATTTTACCAAATATAAATTTCCAATTATACATAAACATATAAATATTATATAATACACAGGTAACTGGTTTAGAAACAGCAATTTTGGAATTCCTCAAACGACATTGCCCTGAAAATAAAGAACTTTTTACTTTGGTAGCCTTACATTTTCGATTGTATCATGAATTAGCATTTATGTGGGAAAATGAAGCGAAAGATATAATTAAAGCAATAATATCAGATGCTACGAAAGATCATAATAAATTGCAAAGTACCATTCAACATGAAATAAAATTCATTAAAACCGAAAATATCCTCAAACAATTACATTTGGTTGTTACTAATTATACTCATGCAACAGAGTATTATTTACAGGTAAAGTACTAATCTAATAAATTATATCTAATTTTTTTTTTAAATAAAAATTTATAATATATGTTATAATTATAGGCTAATAAATTAAATCTTGCTAATCAATGTTCTGATCAAGTACAATTAGTTGCTCTTCAACTTTCACTTTTTAATACAGTGTCTTATAATCAACAAGTAATTTGTATACTTAATTTAAAATCTGAAGATATTGATAAAGTATTATGTCACAGCTTAAGCTTCTCTCAAGCTTTCATTGTCATACATGCTTATAATCATCATGTAGATTGGGTGAATTTGATTTATAATCATTGTATATTAAATGGAGAAACAAAATACTTAAAAGATTTTATAGCAGCAAATAAGCTCACTTCTGCTCTTGTGCAAGACTGTGCACGCAGGCAAGTTAATTATTATGTTAAAATAATTAATCTCTTTTGAAAATTTTTTCCTATTTTAATATATTATAATTTTATTGTAGGTACAGATTGGAAAAAAGCATTACACATACTATGACAGATAACATGAAAATATTAATTTCTGAATTATTAGATGTGGAATGTAAGTATGTATTAGCCAGTCAATTAGGATTTAAAGACGTAGTAGAAATAATGCTTAATAATCCTATGATTGGTGCGTATCTAAAAGACACTGTATGGAAAAAGGGATATAATGCTTTCTAAATACTTTCTTTAAATTATACATTTCCTATAAACAAATATATTCATTATTCAAAGTACACATGTACGTTTTTATTAGTTTTTACATAAATAAATCTGTCATATATTTAAATTTCCAATAAATATTTTTATTTCATCCATTCAGAATATATATTCTTAATTATATTTTTAAAAACAAAAGAATTATTTATTGAGCTTCATATTTCTATGTAAAATAATGTACAATTTAAGACGATAATAATGTCTGAAAGTATATGTTATAAAAAAATTTCATTGCATAATCGATCAGAAAAGGCAGCAGTTTTAAAACTAGATATATATATAAAAAAACATGAAACAAAATTTGGAAAAATATCATCTAAAAAAATTTTATCGCGAAAACAATTAAAATTATTAAAACTTATACATGAATTAATGAAAGCTATTGAAAAAGAAGAAATCAACAAACAACAAGGTATAATTTTACAATTTCTTCAGCCATTATTTTAAAATTTCATTATTTTTCTATAGCATTTCAATTGCTAAAAACTTCTAATGATGCAATAAGAACAACAATTTCTACATTTCAAGATTCAATGAAGCAATATAAAGATATCATAAAAACTGAATTTGCAAAACTCGATTGTTTAAGTACAAATCGACTTTTAAGTATTAATTATACATAAACATAATTTATCAATGTTATACAACTATATTATAAGATATAGAAGTTTTAATATTGTAGAAGTTTTAACATTATATTCTAATTTATCTTATTTAAATAAAACGATGTAATTAAATATAATTTATTATAAAACAATATTTGCATTTTATGCATTTCATAGTAAGAAGGAAATTATTCGATTCTAAGACTATATTGTAAATATATATATGTCTACATGTCGCTTACAATGGATAATATTCTTATAAATGATAGATAAAATATTCTTTACAATTTTTTAATCTGTATTACGAAAAAAATGATGTTATAGATTTATGATTCTTATGAGAATTTCAAATATTTGTACTTGATCGACGTTTAATAGAATTTGTATCTATATCATCTGTATTTTCCTTTCTCTTTACATTTGTAGTATGTAATACTGAACTACTTATGTCCCATTGTAAACTTTCAGCTAGATGAAAATCGCAATGTTCCTGATATTTTGATATAGGTATCATTTGATAACATTTTACACATTGTTTAGAAGGAACTTCAATTAAATTAGATGAATTTTTTTTAATTAAGAAGTTAGAAATATCATTGCTTCTTTTTCCTTTTGAGATATTAATTGTAGATTTACTTTTTCTCTTTGACGTTTTCATTACAATTTCTTTTGTATTACCCCTTTTATCTTTTAATTTCATATGTAATTTTGCTTCTTCTTGCAAATATGAAGGTAATAATGCAACTACATTGAGATCAATATTATTCAAATCAGGAAATATTTCTTGTAGTTGTATTACGTCTTGTTCATTATTTTCATTTAATTTTATATTTGAAGAAATTGCCTCATTTTCAATTTCATTGTTCACATATATTTTATCTTTCATATTTAAATCTAAATTTTCATCAGAATTACTTTCCTCATTTTTTATATTATTTTTATTTACATTTTCACATTTAATATCCATATTTATATTACCATTTAATTCAATATTATTTATACATGTATTTTTTGAATTACTTTCCTCCAAGTTTAAAACATTCATAAAAAACGATCCCTTGAAATCATTTTGATCTAAAGGATCACCTAAATTAGAACAGTTTATCTTCTTTTTACAAAGAGTTTTTATTTCATTTCGTTCATTCAGTGAATTAATTAAATTATCTAATCGTCTGGAAGTAGGAGACGAATCAGTTCTTGTATCATAATTACATTCAGTTAATTGCGCATTAATTCTAGAACTTTTTCCAATATGTTTTAATTTATTATTTTGCATATTGTTGATTTTATCGCTATTGGAATCGATACAGATATTTTTATCTACATCTAAGTTATTTTTTATTTTTTTGGTACTATCTTCTACTAAACATATACTTTCTATTTTTTCATTTTCTGTTTGTACGTCTATTTTTTTACAAGATTCTAATTCGTTTGATTTAAAGAAATTCCGAAAATTATCACTACCTTTAGCTGGTATAAATTTACCAGCTGATATACCTAAAAATGCAATTGGACATTGCGTCGATTTAGATACAATTTGTACGCAACGAGTTGCCATATTTTCTGGCTTATATGAATTTAAAGTATATGAACGTGATTGAGATATTGTAGTTCTATTTTGATAATACCGATAATATATAGTTACTAATGTTGCACGACGCTCGTTTTCCTCAAGATCTTGTTCAAGACGTTCACAAACTTCTGCTGACAATTCACTGGCCCAATGTTTTAACTGTAAACCATATACTATGTATAAATATAAATTCATAACTTTTATTTGTACAAATTTTATTAAGTACTTTACCACATCTAATGAGACAATGGCTTGTTTTCCCGGAAATTTTTTACATGCTCCAATTGACTTAGATACCAGTCGTATATTAACAGGTTCATTGTCTACTCCTCGAGCAATATTGTATAACCATAATCTAAATAAATATATTAACATAAAATAATGTATTTTTTTATGCATTATTATTTTCAATGAAATTATAAGCTCATAAATGTACCCTGTCTTCTCATCAAAACGTTTTTGTAAATATTGCAATGAATATTGCAATAAGTCACCCATAACATTACAATTCAAAGATTCAACAATAACATCTCCAAATTTCCCACCAAGGTTTCTAACTTTTTTAATTGGCAATGTTGAATACAAACTTGATACTGCGGTTGCAGGTAATATTGTTTGTTGATTTGGTTTATGTAATCCGCATGCCAATTTAGCTAATATCTAAACACATACAATATAGTTAGAGTACTTTTTATTTCACTTATAAAATAAGTCGTCACTTTTTTACCTTATTTTGTGCAATACCAGCAGAACATCTAAATCCTGTTTTATCAAATATATTAGTTCTTATTTCTTCAACTATAATTCCTGCTATTGCAAGTTTTTGTGGTTCTATATCTTCAAGATCCTCAAAAATATTCATTATCCAAGTTCTTGTGCCATTACTTCTTTCTTCTGATTTCATAACATATAAAACTCCATATCATAAAATATCATACACAAATTTATTTGCAGCCGTAAAAGTTTACAGTAATTATTTTTTTACCTTCATCATTCTTTCCATCTTTTGAATATCCAACTACAAAAGTGTTTGAAAGCTGTTTTATTAAATGGTTCGAAGAAATAAGATTTGTAGATATTCTCTTGGAAACTAGATTAGTAATATCTAAATATGCTTCATCCACACTAGCACGCTCTATTATATCACAGTGTGTCTTTATGACATTAATAACTTCTCGACCAGCAGTTCTATATCTAAATATTATAAATATTCATAATTTCTCAAAATTAAATTGCATAATTCTTTATTGTACATGTGTGATATATTAAATGCATAATTCTTTGATGTACCTTGATGTATCAGCTTTTCCACGAAGACATGGTACACTAGCTAAAATCAGATCTGGACATTTTTCTTTTGCCTCCTCACCTCTCATATGTCTTGTAACACCATATTCCCTTGCTTCGTAATTAACAGCAATAATTCTATTTAAAAAATATTATCGATATCTAGAATCTACACTTATCTAGTTGTTAAAATATAATTTACATTAATTATGTTTATTAAACATTTACCCTCCTAACTTCCATTGATTATATTGCACAACTGCAAGTGGTTTTCCAGCATATTCTGGTTGAAGTTTCGTTTCAACTTGGCAAAAGAAACAGTCCATATCTATTAAAACTACGATTCTATCATTGCTCGAATTTGCCATTATAAAATAAAATTTGATCGGAGTTGTTGTCAGTTATAGGTTAAAAACATTAGTATATTCATAACGTTACTCATCTAATATTCATCACAGTTTGAATCATATACATTTGTACGAACATTTTTCCTTAAAAATAATAACAAAAAGTATAAATTTTTGCATTGCACATTTTACAATTCGTAATTCAATTAAAATAACAAACCGTAATTCGAAACAATCTTGAACTTAAATTTGTAACTCGATTGTCGTTCCTAAACTTATATTATTTCATAAGAGTAAAATCTTTAACCAGTGATATCCCATTAGCAGTTTAATTCATAATTACTTTTACTCAGAAAAGAATAAATATAAAAAAAATAAATAAATATACGCTACTACAATGAATATTGTTATTCATAAATTATAATCTGAGATTATGTTTCGAAGTATTTTTAGAACACGTAGTATTTAGTTTGTACAAAGCGTCACATTTACGAACATAAAATACTTTTTCCATTATTGAAAAATACAAGTTACAGATACCTGTCAAGTTTCAGAACACCTCTATCGCTAAATACGATATAAACACGTTTATTATTACAAAATTTTATTCTTCGTTTTATTTATACGTAGAGTGAGGCCTTACGCTTCGTGACAATGCCGAGTAAAAAGAAAAAATATAATGCACGTTTTCCAGCAGTGAGTATTAAAGTACTGTGTACAGTTTTGGAAGATTTTTCACGAAAGTACACTTTACGTAAATTACATGTTTATTATTTCGATAAAAACAATATTATAATTTAATTACATTTAAATTATAAAGAAATATGTAATAAAAAGAAACTCAATACATAACAATTTTTTAATTACATACCTAACCTATCTTTACAAATGCACTTAGGGCAGAATAAAAAAAATTATGCAGACCGACGAAGAAGTTGGAAAGGTCGCACAAGCAGTGCCAATTATAATTTATATCCTTTATAACTTATATCCACGCAATAAAAACAATAACTTTGTTTTAAGTATCAACATAAGCTTGTATCTTTGTTGTTTACATTATAGATCTTCAAACTGTTGACGATATATATTTCATGTTAAAAATAAATTCCTTAATTATTTGTATACCTAGAACATTAGAACTGTTTGTACATTCATTACTTACAAAAACCATGGAAATTACAATTGCCAAAAATGCTAAGACTTTGAGTCCATCTCATATGTAAGATCCATATAAGATTTTTAAATAATAATTAACTTGCATTTGTAATATTTGATTTTGATTTCTTTGTTACTAATTCTTATATCAAGTTTATTTATAGGAAGCAATGTATTTTATCAGAGAGCCGCTTTGATTTTTTAAAGGATTTAGTAAAGTCTTTACCGGATGTATCAAGTCCTGATGAGGAAGTGCCAACACCACCACTGACACCTGCTTCAGTAAATACAAATACATCAAATACATCAATTTGTTCATCTATAACACAACATCCAGATGTAGGGTAAGTATTAAACAAGTTAGTACAGGGTAATGTATGTTTACTTAAGGATAAGTATTACAGTTACTATCTGTAAATCTTAATAAATATACTATTATATTTTTATAGAGTTCAGAAGCAGCAAATTGGATTAACTACTGAAGTAAACTTAGAGACTAAAAGTTCAAAAGACAATGGTGGAACAGAAATACATAATTCAGCTACTATTAATGAGATGGTAAAAAATACTGTTCCTCAAGTTCCGGAGTTTCAAATATCTGTACCTGCGTCCTTTCAAATTAGTCAACCTAATTTTTACACAGAGGTTAATCCTATGAATTTAAGTACAAATACAAATAATCAACCAACATCAAATTTTACTCATTCTCTGGATGAGGATTATGATACATAGTTACTTTCCAGGAACTAGAAATAAAATTTAAACTTAAAACAATAATTAAAACATGTGATGGAGTAATATCACAAAGTTCATAATTTGCATTATTACTTACATAGATTTCGATAATTGTAAACTTTTATATTTTTATATTTGTTCTGTTAAATTATAAATTTTGTTCAAAGCAGTTTATCAAACTACATATTTAATATAAATGATAAAAAATATTTGATATAAATGATTGGTATACAAATGATATAAATGATTGATATATAAGTAAGTTTGGTACAACTAATTATCATGAAACACTCATTTATAAATACATTATATTGATGTATAAATATGTATAATAAGTGTGAATATTTGGATTTACATAATTGTTGTATATCCAAACATATATTACATGTATTAAAAATAATCTATTGGGTTGGTGCATAATTATTGCGCATTTTTTCGCGACTCTTTTGGTCTTTGAAAATTAGCGTTTTGTTTATTTGTTTTCACAACAATAATTCTCTCTTTTCAGATAGTGAAAATGCGTATCGAAAATCATATCCATATTCGCCATATTATGCTCTATCACTTTGAGAAAGATTGTAATGCAGTCCAATTTCGCGATCTCAACGAACTTTTTGGCGAAGGAATAATCAAAAGCCAAGTTGAAAAATAGTTCAAA